ATCAATTAAACAATCAAAAAATAAGCAATAATTATTAGAGAAAATAACACTTCTACTATTGAATCAACTTTTGCAGCCATACATCATTTTCACGCAGCTCACTTCTGAGATTAACCTGCATAAACCAAACATTTGCTCAAACAACACTTTCTACACATCTAAAACCTACAAACAGCAAATTATTGAATTCTAGGTACTTAACCAAACATTTTCAAACCACAAGCCTATAAACATACCAATTGTTTATGGACATTTTTATAACGCGGATGCAGGTAGGCATCGTATCGTATATATCGATCTAGCCATATAATGTCGAAACCACAAGCCTACTGCAGCTCTATCTATATCGGTGGGAGGTAGATACTTTATACTTCCTGTGATCAAACAGTCCAACGCCAAGCATACGAGAGGACCACAATCCCCTCTGGGTCCTTTCGTTTGTTGTGGTGCGGTCTCGTCTCTGCTAACTGTAATATTGAGCTTCTTTGGCTTCTTGTTTCCAGAACGAGTCCAATAATTTATCGCATCCAAGTATTTAGCCAAATAAGAGCTCCATCCCTTAATAATATCTCTTAAATCAGCCAATGATATGTAATTTATCATGCTGTCATATACTATTGCCTTAAGGGATGGGATCTGAAGCTCGACGAGAAGCCAATGGTTATGTTCCAAAACAGGGATAAACACCTGCAATCATAAGTAATAATTCATTCATTTGCGCACTTATTTATGAATACCTTTAAACTCAATCTAAAATAAACACTAACCTTATCGACCTCCCACCATGCAGGATAAAGTTTAGCTTGTCCATTGCCCAACGCAAATGATTCATCTCGTTGATTCTTCAAGTGAACGGCGTTAAAAGACGTCGGCATAATTGTATACCGTGTATTTCTTTTATTTTCCTTAAGTTTCCTAATTATTAGAAGACGTGACACCCACGCATCGATATACTGTTTTACAAAAAAAGACATATATTAGTAACTTACATAAATTTACAAAAAAAATAATCAAATGAAAATATAAGAAAAATATAAGACTTACCCCTCCATCGAAATAGCCATTGTCTTCGACCCCTAATTATACGCCCCACCAAGACCGATCAAGCAACAAATAGATATCATCATTGAGCTTGCATATATCAGTGAAACACCCCTGGCTTCGCTCATGTAGATAAAAATCAACTGCGGTCTTAGCCCAAAGGGTGTTATCCATAATTGTGTCCGGTAGTTGTTTCCTCTCCTCTTCAGATACCGGTATGGTACTGGCCGGTAACTCATACGAGAGCCAACTTGAATCCATCATGTCCAGCACGTCAGAGGGTTTCTCAAGAATCCTACATATGACGCCATGTGAATCGGGCTCTTGAATGGTGGGATGGACCTCTTCAACGATGACAGTGGCCTCTTGAACGGTGGGAGGGGACTCTCGAGGAATGATAGGGGCCTCTTCAACGATAGGAGTGGACTCTTGAGGGATGATAGGCGAGTCGGGCTTCTTCTTGCGGTGTCTTCTCTCACTATTGGGGTATACGGAGACTTAATAGCACGTGCACGCCGTCTGATGCGTGAACTCTGTCGTGCAAGAAAAACCTGACGTAAAGCATCCACCTTATCGGTCCGCTAAATAAAAATACAAATATCAGTAAATAAACAGACATGATATTTAAACAGTGAAAACAAAGATAAATATATTTCAAACTTTCAACCAAAAGACAAAACAAAGACAAATACTAACTTCACAGTGTTAAAGTAAAAAGTTTAGCAGTTTTGGCAGCAACCGAATAAATTTACTAAGCAATCTAAGTGAAATGGTTAATTTAAGTGAAATTACGAGTAAATTTATCATCAAGTTAAATATGGAAAATCTTAAACTTACCTCGTTGCGTAGAGTATGAACCTCATTCTGCAACGATACTACCATCTCACGTAGAGCGGCAACCTCACCACGTAAAGTAGACGCCTCCACACACCATGCACCATCGTTATCAAGTAAAGTACCGATCTCCTCACGCAAGGCATTGACCTCATCACGTAACTCCCTTGACTCATCCCGTGGAGGTGGAGAATATGGAGATAGAAGTCGTGGCATCTTTCCCGGTCGCCTATCATGAGGTGATGGTGGAGAAGAGGCTCGATGATGTGACGGGATATGTGATGGCTCTCGTTGTAGAGGTGTATAGTCGGGTCGATCAGGTGATGGCTCTAGGTGAGATGATGGCTCTCGAAGTGGAGGAAGTGGAGGCTGCTCATCATTCGTGCCATCAAGAAAACGCTGACTAGCTTGCCACCAATCAGTGGCAAGCTCAGCCTCCGTGGGTGTCAGTCTCATTAATGGAATGTTGGCCTCCTAAAAATATAAAAACTCAAACAAAGTTAAACGTCTAATATTAATAACTTGTTTATATATGATAGTATTTGTGTTAACTTACATTATTTATTGTCGCATATGGTATTAAATCTTTCCAATCCAACAGACGTTTCCTCTTCCAGGAAATAGCCCTGGGAATATCATTTGAAGTTTTTATTGCATATGTCTTCATGGCGGGAAAGGCCTCGAATATCCAAATCTACAAACAATATAATAACAAACATTAGTAATTGTTAAATAATTAATTATAATTTTGAAAACATTATATAGAAATTCTTACCTTAAAGGCCCAAACAAAGCCTGACAAAGTGTATTTCGACCCATCGCCCCGCAAACTTTTGCGGTCATCAAAGGCAGACGACAACTTAGTCCAGGTAGCTTTCCATATATACAAACCCCACGGAAACAGATTCCATGCATTTAGGTCCTCTACCAATAATATTAGCTCCTGAGGAATAGGATGTCTGGCCTCTCTGCCTAAAAAGCCGGCATACAAAAGTAGTAGAAGGCATACTCGGACAACATCGACGTCATTCATCCGAGTAAAACCATCTTTCTTATTAAACAATTTCTTCATGTCGTCGACGTGTAAGTTCGGCTTCTCTATTGACTCATCAGGAAAAACCCTGGATAACCATGATGGGCGGGTGATATGACGAGTGTACCGGCCTACATCATCGTGTCCGAATCGTAGACCAGTGATTAAGCAGAACTCCTTCCGCCCAAAACAAGTATACGCCGGTGGAAAATGAAACCATATCTCTTCCTCACCACGTTGTATACTGTCGGGTAGATCGCTAGTCATGGTCTGAAGCCACAAATGGGTCAAACTAGCATCTCCACCCGGATACTGTACTCTCAGCCATGGCCCGAAGCAGGTTTCTTCAAACAATTTTCTTTGTGCAGGTGAAAGCTTCGAAGTAATTGTAATGGCTAGGCTAACTTTATTCCTTAATGTCAATGAAGCCGAAAAAAATTTCTACAAAAAAATAATAAACATACCAAGTTAGATATACCAAAAATTACACTGTCAAAATATACAAAAAACAAAACAATAAACATAAATAGTAGTTTATTCTTGAAACTAAAATTTGCAACATTGTTTTTGTCTTTTGGTTGAAATGAAAATCGCAACGAGATAATGAGAATCGCAACGCGGAAATGACTATCGCAACGAGAGAATCGCAACGCGAAATGACTATCGCGACCAGACAATCGCAACGCGAAATGAAAATCGCAACCGCGAAATAAAAATCGCAACCGCGAAATAAAAATCGCAACGCGAAATGAAAATCGCAACGCGAAATAAAAATTGCAATGCGATTGTTTCGCGTTGCATTTTTTATTTCGCGTTGCGATAGTTATTTCCGCGTTGCGATTTTCATTCTCGAAACTATTCTTCTTCTGCATTACTTCAACCAAAAGACAAAGCAAAGACAAATACTAACTTCACAGGCTAAACAGTTTAGCAGTATTGGCAGCAATCGAATGAATTTAATAAGAAATCTAAGTGAAATGGTTAATCTATTATTGAAATTACCAGTAAACTTATCATCAATCTCAATATGAAAAACCTAAAATAATGCAAAAATTTCAAAATAAAAATAAAAAAAAACTAACCCTCGGAGGTTGATTTTCCATTTCTGAATGATTGTGAGGGATTTTTGACTGTGAATGGTTGTGAGGGATTTCGCCGGCGATGGGGACGGAAATCTTCGGAGATGGGGACGGATTTCACCGTAGAGAGTGAGAGATGGAGATGGGACTGAGTGTTGTGTTTTTGGGTTTGAGGTTATGAGTTGCGATTACTGTGGATGGTTCAGTTTCCGATTTATTAAGAAAAAATTCGTGTTTGGAATTTGAAAAAAAATACGCGTTAATACGAATGGCGCTATGTAAATTGCGTTGCGAAAGTCAGAATCGCGTTGCGAAAGTCAGTATCTCGTTGCGATTTTGTATTATCGCATTGCGATAGTAAGTATCACATTGCGATAGTCAGTATCGCATTGCGATTTTCCCAATTCGCGTTGCGATTTACTTATTCGCATTGCGAATTGGGAAAATCGCAACGACATTGTATACCATCGCAACGCGATTTCCAACTATCGCAACGCGAAATGCAACGCGAATTTGCGATAATGGAGATCGCGTTGCGAATTAGCGATCGCATTGCGATTTTGTTGGTCATTTTGACAAATCCGAAAAAAAATTAGTTAAAATCGTATATTATATGGGATTTTTAGTCACTGAGGTTATTTTCTCATAATAATTTTAGACACCACCACTCTCATTATATAATGAATGCTATAATCGGTGGAAGATCTATAGCTTATCTAAAGTGGATATTGTACACTTTAAAATTCGATTTTTTTAACCATTGAAATAAATTTATTCGTACAAGTAATATATTTTTAAAAATTCGAATTCAAGCATCATAGATATTATGTAGTAAATTTACCAATATATAGATTATAAATGATCATATTATAGTTCATAGATTAAATTTACCAATATATAGATTAATAAAAGTTTAACTATTATGTAATAAAACACCCCAGATTTTCAAGCCAAGGACTCCACAGCTCTACATAAACAAGGGTCAAATCTCTCAAAACAAAACAAAATAAGCATTCAACTGCAAATACCTGTGATTTATTGATTGAAAATCTGTTTCAGAAAGCCATGAGCTTTAATTTTAAAAAAGACGTCTTTAATCAAACACATCCAGTTCATAACACAGCGTCCTGCAACAAAACCAATCACAACAGACGTCTCTGAAGAAATATGGAGACTGGAACGGGAACCCATAACGTACTCGGTAGTACCGACATAATCAAGACTCAAAAAATATTTCCATTTTTCATTTAACATGACTAAAACTGAAGAGAGAGATAACCAGACTAATTTATAAATCCTCGAGCGATTGTATTTCCATCGTCTTGTAGCGATTCACGTCTCTTCACGTGTAGTTTAACCTGAATATGTCATTCAACACATAGAAGCTTCCTTGTGGTGTTGGCATCAAATGAAACATCTGGGAGCAGAAAGCAAAGCCAAAATGTCTTGGTTAGTAAAGCTGCTAACCAAAAGATATCACCATATCAAAACCAATTCAATGGTGGATTTGAAATGGCTAAAAACGAAAACCCTGAACTTTACAGTTTCATCCAAATGATCCCCCCTATACTTTTGTTACACCTAGACAACCCTTAGGAACTTTTAGCCAAATCAACCATGATCTTTAAATTATAAATGAAGAAACCATTGACATAAATCACTTGCTCATTTGAATTTAGGCAACAATTAAAGAAGGGCTTACTTGGGTAAAATAAAACTATAGGCCAATCTCTAAAAAAGGGCCTTTTTCATAGTTTAGCATTTAGAACTCCATTATTTTTCTAAATAGAAGATAAGAACATGCTCTATGAGAAAGCAAGTGATAAACCACAAGGAGGTCAACAATATCGCCGGGTGAACCTTTCAGAGTATGCAATGAGAGCACCCACCATCAATTTATTAAGTGAGGAGTGTAATTAAGCAAGCATAGAAGATTAAAATTTACAACCAAAGCTTGCCTAGTATAAAAAAGACATCAGGTACAGAAGAAAGCTCTAGATTTCTTTCTATAGTAATCATACAATTATTTATAACTTTGCAACATAAAGCAAAAAGATAGGAAGATTCACAGCCCACAAGGTCCAATTAATCGCCATAAATAATGACTATGAACATGTAAATATGAAGAACCACATAGATCATAACAAAAAAAGATATATCAAGTTCTTTTGCGAGATAATGGAACAAAAAATATCTATATCCTTCAAAACGTAATTATGATACAGTCTAATGAAATCGAAAATGTTCAATACATTGATTATCTTATACTCGTTTCTCTTCTTAACTCAGTTATCAAAATCAATGGAAGGCATGCAAATTCAAATCACTATTGATTCATGCAATAGAGTTAATTCGATTCATAAGATCCTGACCAATAATCAAAATCCAATTGATTCAATCCAGAATTAAGCAGATAGATCACTAACAAATCGAATCGCGAAATCACATCATATATATTACCGATGAAATCAACAGTCAAAAACATATTAGCTTTAGATCGATCACTGAAGTAATCATAAAACCCCTACAAAACGGCAGAAAGAGAGCTACCTGGCTGAACTTGAGAGCATGCTGCTCGCCGGCGAGTTGTAGCGTACCGGAGACGAAAACGAGCATGCCGCCTGCGCCGGATGGCTGGCAATCGACGGTGGTGATATTGTGCTTGCACTGCTGGAAAGGAAGGCTGGTTAGCTTAGCGACAATGCTCTGAGAGCCTTGGATCTTTTGACCTTCGAAGGTCAACATGGAACCTTCCTGGTAGAGATTACCTAAACCGGCCCGGTTCGCATCGAATGTCGAGTAGTAGTGATCGACGAACGCCTTCGCTACAGCGTCTGGATCCATCGAGATTTTCTCTTCTTTATCAGAATTTGAGCCGTCGCCTCGAGAAAGCTGTCACGAAGCAGTGAAAGGGAAAATGAAGAATTGTGTGGCGATCGAAGGTTATGTATGAATTAATAGGAGGATTGATCCTACGGCTGAATTTTAATAATGAAAATCTAACTACAGGTGGCTGCCAGCGTGTTATGTTATCTTTTTTCTTTTCTGGCTTAATACACTTTTAGATACATAAATTATACCTTAATTTGACTTTTGGTGTCTAATTTTTTTTTGTTAAAAATAAGTGTTTAACGTTTTTCTCATTACACTTTTAAGTGTCTATGATTATTTTTTATTTTTAATAATAAAAACATTATTTAAAAAAAGAAAAAAAATTCAAGAAGAATAAAAAACACCTCCGATGACGACAAAGAGTCACCACCTACTGAATTTTATTTGGAATAGGGCGAGAAACTCAACGGTGGAGACCGTATAACATACAACCAACTGTAGCCGTCAGAATCATCATAAAACATAAAGAAATAGAAAACCACCGACCCTTTGCGAAGCTTTTAAAGTTTCACTGTGGGTGGAGGGACTGGATTTTGGTCACAATGGCAAGACGATTCTAATAGTATCAATAATGATAGCTATGGACCGACAGTGATTGATCAGTGGTAGAATTTTGTGCTTTTTTAGTTTTTTTAAAACTATAATATTAAATATTTTTTAAAATTTTATATTTGTGACACTTGTCAGATAACAATTTAACTTAACGGCCGTTATAATCTAGATACCTAAAAGTGTAACATTGAAAATATTAGACTTCTATTTTAGTGAAAAAAATCTTTAGTGTCTAAGTGTCTATCAGCCAGCGGATTGCTCTTTGCGTTAATCCAACGCAGCCAACCACCAAATTTTCGTCTTTAGATTAATTTTTCGGTAAACTACATAGTAGATCCCCTTTGCTTGGATTGTTCTCTTACTTTGATCATTAAACTTTGAAAAATAATGTTTTAATTATTTATATGAGTTAATTACATCATATGTCCTCAATCTATGACACTCATTCCATGTTGGTCCCTAAACTTTTAAAAAAATTAATTTCATCCTTAAACTATGACTATTATTCTAAATCAATCCTCAAACTGCACACTTCATTTTCATCCCCAAACTATGATATTCATTCAAAATTGGTCCCTAAACTTTTAAACTTTTTAATTTCATCCTTAAACTATGACTATTATTCTAAATCAATCCTCAAACTACACATTTCATTTTCATCACCAAATTATGATATTCATTCAAAATTGGTCCCAAACTTTTTAAATATATCAATTTTATCCTAAATTATATGTATATACTAATCACATCTCTTTAATAAGTTATATTATTATATGTTTGAATTTTTTTTAGGTTAAACTATTGTTGAAGTGGATTACATACTTAGATGAATTTAGGGATGAAATTGAAAGATCTAAAAGTTTAAGGACCAATTTAGAATGAGATTCATAGTTTGGGGATGAAAATTGAATGTTCAAAAGTTTGAGGATCAATTTAGAATGATAGTCATAGTTTAAGAATGAAATTGAAATATTTAAAAGTTTAGGGACCAATTTAAAATGAGGGTCATAGTTTGGAGACATATGATACAATTAACTCTATTTATATTATCGATTTAGTATATATTAATTATTGAGTTTATCACCAGTTAATTTTTCTTCTTATTTTGACGATTAAACTTTGAAAAATATGTTGACAATAAACAACAATAATGTGGGCTAAAAGAAAGATTAAAAGACTTTAAAAGTCAAGTTGATATTTATTTAAAGTTAAGGGGTAAATTGATCCTTTTTCTAAATTTTATGAGTTAAATTAAAATATATATTTTATATCATGTAATTAATATAAAGAGAATTAACGATATTCAATAATTATATTACTTTCAAAGTTATAAAAAAAACAAGAAGAGACCCAAACATACATAGTTTTATTATAATATTGAACTACGCTATTCGGGTAAATAATTAAAACAAAACAGGACGTCGACAGCAGGGATCGAACCTGCGCGGGCATAGCCCAACAGATTTCAAGTCTGTCTCCTTAACCACTCGGACATATCGACATTTGTGCCAGATTTCAAGATGAGCTGATCATGATGTGTCTAAACTGCTCCGAAGAAGTAAATGATAAGTTTGTTGGTACTAAAGCATAAATATGGAATATATACATGGTAATAATTATTTAAAGACTTCGGATATTTGACAATAAACACTCATACCTTTAATATAAACAGTGCTTAAACACGAAACCTCAAAAAATAAAAAGTTACAAATTCTTTAACCATCAAAGTTGTTTAATTCGTGCTTTTAGTTATCTAACTTTGATATTTATGTATAATATAGTACTTAATTTTTTAATGGTATAATTAAGTACCTATTTTTTTTTTATATATAACCATCGATTTTCGATTTATTAATCGACAAATTCGGATTGATTATTGTAGAGGCCATGGCAACCCTCTCAACTTATTTTACTCCATTTACAAACGTTATGATTCAGACCTCTGACTTTTGCTTAAGGGAAGTACCTATTTTTTAATGCAGTTATATATATTTTTTTATTTTTTTGTAAATTAATTATTTAACTTTTTATTTTTTTACTAACAGATATCTAACAATTATTTAAATTATTTTTGTACGGTAGTTACATATTTATTTATTAAGATAAAGATAATTATAAAATAATATTTATTTTAAGTTCTCTCAATCATTAGACAATTTTTTTTTTATAGAAAGTCACTAATTTTATTAAAAGTATAAATTATCCAAAATTACAATTAATATTTACAAGCAAAACTGTAAATGTTAACTAAATTATAATTAGTATATTTTTATATAACTATTGACCCAAAAACTAGCCATCTAGATCACTCAATGACCAAAGAAGGGAAAGGTTAAAAAATCTAACCAAAATGCTTGAACAAAATAAATATACGAATAAATTTGATTGAATCAGTAAACAAACCACAAAAAATGATGAAACTATTAAAAGATCACTGACAAATCGCAAACCAAAGTCAAGCGAAGTGAGAAAACTATCAACGAATGCAAAATGCTTATCAAAATCAATCCAAGAGTCTAAAGCAGTGAAGATCAGAATGATAACAAATAAGCACCATCTTGATCAGTCATGACGATATCAAATCCAACCCTAAAAAAAGATAAATGAAAATAACGACCAAACGACTGAAAACTACCAAAATGCAGAGATAAACATGCTACAAATGCAGAGATAAATGCGTCACAATGACAAAATTATTTTTATTAAAAAATTAAAAAAGATAAAGAGAAAAGACAATCAATAGTCGACAACCAACATTAATATTGGTGTTGATGCTGGCTAAACAAAATCAAAGAAGAAAAATTTGATTTGATTTACAGAAAATGACACAAATAGTAAAGAAAAAATGGGAGAGGGGAGGGAGAAAACGGCCAGGGTTTAAGATATATTATTAAGGGTTAATTACACCGCTCCTATTTGAACTTTACTCTTTCTCATATTTTACTCAATGTACTTTTAATTTTTCTAATTTGCTCACTAAACTTTACAGATTTAATCATTTTGCTCACTCATTTGTTATCTCTCTAACGTTGTGTTGATGTGTCAAAAAAGTTATTTAATATAAAATAATTAAAAATATAAAGGGTAAATTACACTGTTCCTCATTGAACTTTATTATCTCTCCTATTTTTCTCATCCAATTATAAAATAAAAACAGAAGGTGGTTGGATGCAACTGCTGTCCACTGTCGTCCGTTGTAGACGGTGGTCGTTTGGTCCCAAATTTCATGGGTCGCCTCGCCTCAACACCTTGAGTCAGAATCTGACCTCCATTTTGTCAAAATTTGCTCTAAAGTCTACGAATTAGAGACTGAAAGTGAGGAAACCATAACATTTCAATCGAGATTCATGGATTTTGAAAACAACCACTAGATTCGGACTCAAGGGGTCAAGATGAAGCGTCCCATGAATTTTGAGATCGAAAGACCACCATCAATGACGGTAGATGATGGTTGGAATAAAAAATGACATGATGGCCGTCGAAACAAACGATCACCTTATTTGCAAATTAGAGAGAAAATGGGGGGGGAGAGGAGAAGAGGATTCGAAACGACATTGTTTTGGTGTGTATTTGAGTTTTTCAAAATGACGACATTTGGATACTTGTGCCACGTCATAACACTGTTAAAAAATTAACGATATAGTGAACAAAAATGATTCAATCTGTAAAGTTCCTGAGCAAAATAGAAAATTTGAAAGTATGGTGGGTAAAATAGGAGAGACAGTAAAGTTCAGTGAGGAATGATGTAATTTACCCTATTATGAAATATTATTTTTCCATTATACAATTATAATTATGAAGTTGTTTAATTAAAATGATAATGTGTGTTACATATTCAAAAATCAACCATTAAAATTTTAAGTATGAGCCGATATATATTTTTTAGAAAAACTAAATACCTAACTATATCAAAAATAAAAGTTGGGTACAATATTGCACCCCAAAATATTAGGTGTCTAATTGTATTATTAAAAAACTTGGATACTATATTGTAAATAAATACCAAAGTTAGATATCAGATTGCATCAAAAAAATTAAATGCCACAATACACATAAAATTTAATGATAATTTTGTAAAATGATCATTAAAGTTATTGAATTATTACAAACTAATCATAAATTTATTAAATTATTATAAAACGATCACCTTACGTTATAAAATAATGATAAATTTTGATAATTTAAGAATTATTATATAATATTTGATAAGTATTAATGATAATTTTATTATAATTTAATGACGTTTAATGATGATTTTGTAATTTCTTGGGAAGTATAATTAATTATTTTGTAGATTTTAAAATTTTATTAGGAAAAAAATTGTTTTAGCATAATTTAGCGACAAATATATTAGATAAATTATGTATTTAGTACCTAAATTATTAGTTTTGGTCTACTTTAGAATATGTTTTTTTTAAATATACTTAATGTTAAATTTTTGTTTCATTTTAGTACCCTACTGTTAAAAG